GTTGCTCCTTGGTATTATACACACACACACACACACACACACACACACACACATCTTTATCCACTCATCAGTTGATGGGCAATTGGGCTGTTTCCAAGATTTAGCTATTACAAACTGTGCTGCTATAAACATGGGTGTGCTATGGCATGATGCTTTTAATTCTTTTGGGAAGATACCAAGAAGATGTATAGCTGAGCCCAGATCTGCCCCAGGAGAGGTTAAAAAGAAATGGTAGGTACAATTTAATCCTTATAAATACCCAAAAGGGGGTAAAGCCCTCCCAAAATGAGAGTTTTAGATCTGCTGGGATATATGAAACTTGCAATGGCTGGGAAAAGAAAAACAAAAGCTGAAGATATTTTTAATCACAGAAAAGTAAAATCACAGCTTTAAAATTCTTTTAAAAATCCTCTATATTCTGTCACCTAAATTCTACATCACCATTTAATCTGGCTAAATATAAAATTTCCAAGTAAAATTCATATGATGTCAAAGAAATCAACACTTGCCTATCTCCACCAGTCTTAGTCATCTTCAGTAATCTAGAGGCGCTTTTCCTGTGACCTGGGAAGTTCCAGAGCAACTCATTAAAACGTTCTCAAATACTGGCTTATTGCTGGCCTTAAATACTGTTTTGGCGCCCTCTAGTGTGAAACATGATTTCAACACCTGCACTCACTGCAAATCCTTTTAATATTTTAGCCAGGCGTGATGGTACAGGCCTGTAATCCCAGCACTGGGGAGGTTGAGGCAGGAGGATCCCTGTGAGTTCGAGACCAGCCTGGGCTATATATGAGTTCCAGGTCAGTCTCAACTACCTAGTGAGACCTTGTCTCAAAAAACAAAAAAAAATATTTACAGTAAAAAACGGTGTGTAAAATAATTTACCAAAGAAATTATGACTAATTACCATTTAAAGTTCACATCTTTCTGAAGTCACAATAAAATTTTAATGTAGTTTCTGAAAGCACAAGATGGCTGAAAACCACTGAGAGTCACTATGGTTAAAAACTCAAGAATGCATTCAAGGTACTCAAAACCATTGCTTTGCATAATGCACAGGTTCCACTCCAGCAGTTTCTCCTACAAATATATTTGCACCTGTGCAAAATAACACTAAGTACAAAATTAGTCATTGCAGCCAGATTGTTCACTGAGGCGTTAGAAGCAGCATAGACGTCAGGCAGTAAAGGGTGATGATTTAGACAAGGATGCACAGAAGAGTACCTTGTACCTGTAAAACAAGACAAAAAAGGATGGCTTCCATTATGTAACAGAGAACATGAAACAGAATCAAACAAAATTAAATACTGAGGTAGAGAACTATGGTATTTTGCTACCATTCGAACTTCAAAAAAGGGGCTAACAATCATGTGATAATAATCATACATATTTGATAATAATCACATATATATTTGCTCATACATCCATATATATATTTGCAATCTCTCCAAGGATAAACAAGAAACTAATATCATGTGGTTACATGTTGACCACGGGGAGGAAAACCACTTTTTAAAAAAAATGTAAAGCCTTTTACATAAGTTCAAGAAGGACAAGAAAAGCTTTGCTTTAAAAAGTAGATTAGACAAAGCATAATTGATGGGAGATGTTCGGGCTGTGTTAGTGGGTGCTGTCTATGAAAAGCCATCGTGACTGCCTTTACGACAGGATCTGAGGCCCAGTGCAGCCTACAGATGGTGACGAACGCTGCAGAATCTCCCACCAGTACACAGGGGCTTCGTCACAAATTTACCAAATCCAGATAAAGTGTTTCAGTCTTCACTTAAAGATCATGAAAATCCACAGCACCTGATAAGCTGCATGTTGCTACCAGAATAAAAACTACAAAAGATGTTCATTCTGGGAAAAAGATACAGTAGAGATACTTGGATTAGAAAAAGCACCTAAGCCTCAAACTCAGAACAACATCCCTCCAGTGAATACAAAATTGAAAGCAGTTAAATACTTGATAAGAATCAAGTCCCTAAGCAGGGTATAGTAGAACCTGCCTATAATAATAGCACTCAGGAGGCTGAGGCAGGAGAATTACTGGCAGGCCAGCTTGAGCTACACAGTGAGCTAAAGACCATCCTAAACTACATAGTGAGATCCTATCTTTAAAAATAACAACAAAAGAATCAAGTCCCTGAAGCTGACACAGGAACTTTCAAGAGAAGAGAACACGTCTAACCCCGTCTGGCAAGAGCATGGGGCATTTGGTAGTGCAGTGGCCTCTAAAGCCCGTGGAGCAGGAGAGCAAGTCCTGATGCCACAGAGTTGCGAAGTGAAAAATGCAAATTTTAACTTCAAGTTGTTATGAAAATATCATGCATGTTTAAAATAGCTGATGACACTGTGTATTGAGAAGTACACGGAGCAGAAAGTATTCTCATTCTGCAGGTGGGAGACTCGGTCGGAGTAACCACCCAAAGAGCAATCTGGCAACATCTAGCAAAGCTCGAATACATGCATCTCTGTGTCTCAACAATTTATTCCTATGTATTTGCCCTACAGAAACTCTTTCACATGTATGAGAAATACACTGAGAAGTATTTGTTGCATTGTTTCTAGAGCAAAAAATGTGGAAATAAACATTCGTTATTGAGAGGGGACATGGTATTCAGATAGGAGGTAGGGCGGGGCAAAGCTGGCTGGGGAAATGAACCAGACTTGTCAGTATTAGACCCCAGGCAAGCGCCAAATAATTCCCAGGACCCCGGATGTGGAACTTCTCCTGGCCCCCACAAGATGTGGGCAATAAGGGCGCAGACTCCCTAGGGGCCCCTATCCTGACTTCTTGTGGAAGCCCATGCTGTATCTTCTAGACAAGGCTGTACTTTTATTTTTGCTATTTTTCTCTTGTCCTCTTTCGTTTGGCCCAACTTTGCTCTGCAGAGCCATTTTTCCCTCACTTTCCCCTTCACCCCTCATTTTTCAAATAAATTTTTGGCACCACTTTTTACTTGTCTTGTTCAGTTCTTTTTTTCGTGGCACGAAGGACCTGGAATACGTTTAGCTGGTGAGCTAAATTTCTGAAGGAACTACTTGATAACATCACGGGATATTCACGTAGTGACATTCAGCAATAAAGATGAACTTAAAGTGAGAAATATCAGCTAAAATTAGTACAGTGACTACAGGAAAAGCAACTTTGATAACAATATACCCAAACAGTTACTTATATAAAGTTCTACACATGCATGACAATAACACCTATGGTTTATGGATACACAAACTTTCAGCAATCCGAGAACCAGGTCAGGAATGATTAAATTCAGGACAGTACCCTAAAGTGGCAAGATTAGGGAACAAGCAAAATTTCAAGCTTATTTGCATTGGTTCTTTTTACTCGTTTGAGAAACAAAACAACAAAATCTGAAACCACAACTATGGCAAAAGAACAAGGCGTGTTACACCTAGACTGCGAAGGCACAAGTACACCTTACAATACTCTCTCCAGGTCAGGAATGAACCAATTATTATGACCATGTTTAAGCAGTTGCTCTCTTTCCCATTTCTCCTCTGCCTGTAATCGTTCTCTAGGCATTCATCAGATGTCCTTGAGAATTTAATCTCCTCCAGGCTATACAGAAGTCATCACAAGAGATCAGAGAAGCAAAGGATCTCTTTCTCAAGTTTCTGCTCTCCTGAGGAGGCGCTTACACCGCCGAGAAGGATGAGCAGGATATAAGGACATCGCGAAGCAACCATGCCCAGTGTGAGGCGGCCCCGCCGGTCTGGAGCTGCCTCCGCCGGCCAGGAGGAAGCACTTTGGGCCTCTGTCGCCTTTGCCTAGGAAACAAAGGCCCTTTGCGCCCAGTGCAGGGGAGCCTGAGGGCGCACAGCCCGGGAGGTGGACGATATGGGCCTGGCTGCCCAGGTGAGATGAGGGTCTGAAGCGAGCGAGGCAACCAGACGCAGACCAGGAGGAGGTGCCCGGTTTGCCCGCACCTGAGTGGAAACTCCTGCTGTACCTGGTCACCGGAGCAGGAGACTGCGGCCCTGCTGAGCTGAAATAACTTTTTCACCCTACACAATGAGCAAGAGACAGAGTTGGGACCAGACCTCGGGCGGGCTGGCTTCAGGGCGACCCGCCCTTGACAGTAAAGAAACAACCTGCTGCCCACACCACCAGTGCATTTTCATTGGTGCTCGCAGCCCTGTCCGACCAGGCATTTCCCATTCCCTCTCGGCTCCAAGCCATCTCCTCCCGTAGGCAGTCCTAGTTCTCCTAAAACGCAAGTGGCAGCAGGACGTGGTGGGCACGCCTGTAATGCCAGCACTCTGGGAGGCTGAGGCAGGAAGACCAAGAGTTGAAGTCCATTCTGGGCAATCTAGCAACTGAGTGAGATTCTGTCCCCAGATAAAAAGCCTGAGGATGTAACTCAGTGAGAGGGTCCTGGGTTCTATCTCAAGGGAGGAAGGAAGGAGGAAGGAAGGAAGGAAGGAAGGAAGGAGGGAAGGAAGCGAGAGAAGGAGCGAGAGAGGGAGCGAGGGAGGAAGTAAGGTACATGAGTAGAGAGAGGGAGGAAGATAAGAGACCAAAAGAAGCACAAGCGGTCCCGGTGGCCCGAGAGTGGGAACTCGCGAGACTACAAGCCCCAGAATGCAGGGATGGAGTTAGATTACAGCCATTGAAGGGACAGTAATGCTACGCTTTCCGATGGGGCGGAGCTTCGTGAGGGGCGGCCCAGTTGCAGGGTCGCCTAGACAACCCCAATTGTGTGACAGAATGCATTTCCGCTTCCGCCTCCTGGCCGAGGGTCTGCGCAGTCTCGCCGTCGTGACGCCATTCTCCTGCGACTGCCGGAGCTCTGAGATAGCGGTTGATCGCGGCTGGCCGGCGGGAAACCTGGTAGGGGCTCCCTCTCTTCTGCGGCCTCTGACCTAGGAGCGGAAGGAAAAGCGGCGAGATGACAGACCGCTACACCATCCACAGTCAGCTGGAACACCTCCAGTCCAAGTACATCGGCACGGGCCACGCCGACACCACCAAGTGGGAGTGGCTGGTGAACCAGCACCGCGACTCTTACTGCTCGTACATGGGCCACTTCGACCTGCTCAACTACTTCGCCATTGCCGAGAACGAGAGCAAAGCGCGAGTCCGCTTCAACCTGATGGAGAAGATGCTGCAGCCTTGCGGGCCGCCTGCCGACAAGCCCGAGGAGAACTGAGAGCCGCCCCCGCCCGGCCTTCGTCCACTGCAGTCTTTCCGGCGTCTCCCTGTCTGCGTAGACGGCTTCCCAAGCTTTGCGGGTATGGACGTGCGTCTGCAGGGGTGACCCCCGACCTGCCTTCGTGTGCCCTCCGGACATGAGAGACCGTGGGGACCCTGGGGACGGTGCTGGTGGAGAGGTCCCACATTCTGGAAGCGTAGGGGAAGACTGCTGGACTAAGACGGGACTTGGAGGCTGGTTTTCGGCTTGATTGCCGTTCTGGCTGTTTTTGATAAAGTTTAGAAATTGCCCAGTCTCTTAGTGTGAACTATTTGTGTCTGGGTTGACGCTGGGACCAAGGTCTGGTGAGAAGTAGGAAGAGGGGAGGAAGGGCACTGGGCCAGAGCTGACATCATCACCCACACTTTTATAATGTTAATCCACTTCGATTTCTTCCACGAGAGTTATTTTTAGGCTCACAGAGCTTTCCAAGTTTTGAAGTTTGTCATAATATTAAGCCACTCTATCTCCATTTCAAAAGTTTTTGCTATCGTTGACTTGTAAATTAAATGCTCTTTCTTGACAATCTGTGATTTCAGAAATGAGCTGGCAAATGAGTTCTTTTCATTCATTCAACATTGAACAAATATATGTTGAGTTCTGTGTGGCAGGCTTTTGGGGCTTCCGTTGTGCTAGCTGGGAAGAGAGGCCAAACACTAAATTCAGAAGATGCCAGAAAGTGGGGATAGCTGATAAGGTTTATATAGCACCCCCCCCCGCGCACCCTGGACGGAGGATCGAACTCGGGTCCTTGTACTTGTTAGGCAGGTGGTGGAACCACTGGGCTAAATCCCTGGCCCTCTGGAAAGGTTTAAATAAGGATGTTTAGGTTATTGAGACGATGATACCTGATAACAGACTGAAGAATTGAAGGAAATAACGCTGCAAAAAAACTGGGGAAATTGCCTTTCATATAGAGGAAAGAGCGAGGGCATGGTGCTAAAGCCAGGGATGCTCAGCTAATTGGAGGAACAACAGGAGCAGGTGGCTGGAGAGCGTGAGCAAGGGGAAGAACATGGAGACAGATACTGTAATGGAGGAGAACTGAGAGTAGATCCTTACAGTACAAAGACATCCGGGGGAGGTCAGAACAGAACCACTAGAGGGTTTTTAAGCAGAGAAGTGAAATGACCTGACAGTTTTATTTAGTGGTGCTGGGGATCAAACTCAAGGTCATATGAATACTAGGCAAGATCTCTACCACAGAGATACATCCCTAGCCCCTGCCCTTTTTTAAAAAATTTATTTTTTTTATTGAGTTTATTGGTATGTTTTAGGTATACAGTACAGTTACATTCATTATTGGGATCTTGTACCTTTACATGACAGGTCTTGGCTCTCATTTTTTCCCCTTGTCCCTACCCTCCCTTCACCCCTTCTCCCCTCCTCCCTTCTCCATTTACAAACACTTTATTTCCATTTTTTCATTTTCTCATACTTTTTTCTTTTCCCTTATTACCTTTTCCCTACCCTTCCCACTTTCCCTGCACCTTTAGCCCTTTTCTTCCTATTTCACATTGTCAGTTATCTCATTAGGATCTTATGTACTATTACAATTTATTCACACCAGAGAAACTATTCGGTATTTACACATGTGTGACTTATTTATTTCACTTAGGAGTATATCCTCAATATGTATCCATTTTCTTACAAATGAATCTAATTTCTCATTCTTATGGCTGAGTAGTATTCCATTTTATAGAAATTTTTTCCTATAGAATTTTTTTCATTTTTGAAACAGTATCTTGCTAAGGTCCAGGCTTGGCTGAAACTTAAGAGCCTCCTGCCCCAGCCTCCCCAGTCCTGAGATTACAGGTTTGCTGCCCCTCAGTGGTCGTTAAAATATTTAGCATTTGCACTACATTATACCTTCATAAATTGTTGAAGACCCTAACAAAACTAAATTGATGTAAGTTGTATATTTTACATATGTTTTTGTTAATATTTACCACAGTAGAAATTAAAGCAGGAAAGTTGAAAATATGTAGTAATTCATGTAAAAATAACATTACATAATGAAAGCAGTTTTATGAAAAATAACTTCAAAATTCGAAGAAAAATGGCTTTTAAAAAATTTTGGAGATGTCTTTGAAGCTGGCTTCATTTCATCTTCTGCACTCATACTGTTGGAAAGACAAGTTTTTGCTGAAGTAGGAGAAAATCTTTTTCATAAATATGTAGTTTGGGAAAACTTTTTAGCCCTTTCAAATAATTATGTGTATTCTTTGCCGATTAAGCAAAAACCAACATGGAATTTACAACATGGAATCTAAAACTTGATCAATGAGCTTCACATTCTGGGAGTTTCACATTTAAATTCATTGACCTATCTTGAACTTTGGATGGATCCTTTAATCAGAAATGTGTGGAACAACAGGCCTCAGTTATTTGGATTGTTGGCTCATTGAATAATACAGGTCTTGTAAATGTTGAGGATTTCTTTGTACCTGTGAAGAGTCACATTCCTTAACATCACCCCAATTTCATCAGGAAGGTCCTACAGCATCAAGAAACTCCCGGCACTCTTTTCCACAGGTGTAACACAGGTCTATCAAGTGTGCTGAGATAGACAATAGCAAAGAAAAGAGATATTTCAAGACATGCTTCCTATCAGTAATATCTAAACATTTTATCTTATTTAATCTTTGGGGAGTGCCATCTTTATTTCACAGGGGAAACAGGTTCAGAAAAATTAACTTGAAAAATCACACAGCTTGTTGTCTAAGCCTGGATTTGAAACAGGTCTTCCTAGTTTCATAGTACAAGATCCCAAACATCCCCCTGCCCCAAGCAGGTCAAGTACATAGAAATAATATCAGAGTAAGTTGGTATCAGATGCTGCCCCACATTGAAGAGAGGAAATATTAAAAGCTTAGCAGATTATTTATACTGAAGAAATAACCGTATAAAACAGGAAGGAATATGAGAAATCTAAAACTCTAAAAGATGCTAACTTCAAATTTGTTGAATGAAGATGAGCATAGAGGAAGAGTAATCTTGTGTGGAAAAATTGCATTCAAGTGTCTGAGAGTAAAGTGCAGTCCACATAAATGTAGCTGCGCCGCCACTGTTTCTGCTGCTCTTCCTGCGTAGGCTAAGGAGATCTGCAGCAAACGCAGGAGGGCAGCAGATGATCCTCGTGGCAAGTACTTTAGGAAGCAGCTTCTTGACACGTGGATTCCTGCCAACTTCAGAAGGAAAGCTGTTTTCATATCTATTCACACTGATGTTGCAATTAAGCCACTTGGAAAACTAAAAAGTAATGGACATTTTTTTCATGTGATCAATTTGTAGCAATCCTCTTATAGACATCTGTGTCATGCTTACAAGGATAGAAGAAGATATGGAGTCTGCCCTGGAGAGGATGCAAGTCGGCAAAATGAATGCAGCAGCACATAATATCACAGCAAGTGCTAAGTGCTAAAGAAAGACTTAGAAAAGCTGTAGGAGTTTTCAGGAAGAGGTTATTGCAGACTGCCAGGGAGGGGCGGGGGAGGGCATTGTTGAGAAAGGCTTCAAGCAGGACCTTGCATAATAAAATAGAAGGTGTATATAGCAAGACAAGGGCAGTACACTGAACCCCAGGGGTATCAGTTACCTCAGAAGGGCAGGAGAATTAAAATCACTCTTCCCTACAGAAAAACCATTTTATTACTTCTGATAGCTTCTTACGGTGTACAACATCCCCAGTCTTCCTCCCCTGCTGTCATAAGGCTAGAAAACCAAGCTCCAAGTCCTAGGATGATAATGAGTTACTTTTATTGAATGCTCACTATGTGCTAAAGACTTACCTACATCATCTCAATCTGCATGAAATACTTAGCTTTGTGATCCTATCATCCCAATATGCAGACATACAGGGAAAATTGCCTAATATCATTCAGCATAAGTGTAGAACAGGGACCTACTGTCAGGTCTCTTTCCAGCATCCAGGTTCTTCTTAGATCAGGGTTTTTAGAACTGGTTTCCAGGAGTCTGACACTTTGAAAAATTATTGGCAGCTTTTTGGGGAGAGAGAAAACAAGGAGTTGCTTTTGTTAAATCAGTTTCAGAAATGCCACACTTGGAGATACTTCAGATTGTTTAATGTTTTACAGCAAGAAATTTTAACCCATCATTTTCTAAACTTATCTGACCTTAGAAGTCTTTTCTTAAGAAATAACTACCATGATAACACTGATAATATATTTGAGGTTTACTGACAGGTAATGAAAAAATTTTAGAATAGAAAATCATCTATTCAACCCCAGGCTTGAGAGAGATGAATTTAGCAACAGTGTACAGGCTGGAATTCAACCTCAGATATGTTTCTTTTCCTAGGGTTGTAAATTCTCACTTGAAAGTAAGGGCTTTTGTGAATGGAAGTTCTTTGTTAGCTCTCCGAGACTAGCAACTTAGAGATAATGGAGAGAAAAGAGACAGTTATACTGTACAAATTATTTATGATCTCATCTAAAGATCATTCTTTTGCTGGGACAAGGGTAAGAAAACAAAAAAAACAATGTTCCTGAAGAATCTAGATATTTGTTCTTACTGATTATATCAGTATCTGGAAGATGCATGTTGATGAAAGGTCAGGAGGGAGTCTTCTGGCAGCTAACAGTCTACTTTGGAGATATGACAATTTGTCCTTGATTTAATTGGCTTTTTCTCTCACAGCCCACGTTTCTTCCAGATTGTGCATGTCCTGAATCTTCCTCCTAGGCACTGTACACATAAGTCGTCGTCGGCCCCTGAGATCGCTCAGTTACTGTCACTTCGCCGCCCTGAAACAGCAAAAGCTGTGGGGGCGGGGGGTGCTCTGGTGGAAACCAAGAATCCCTCTGCTCTCCAATGGCCACAGATGGCCTCTGCAGATGGCCCTTTGACGTGCTCTCTCTTTGATCTGGGCTACTTCAGAATGCTTGCTTTCTCTGCTTCCCTCATTTCCTGTCCACGTTCTCGCTGTTATCTTGTCCCCTCCCTCCACTCTTATCACTCTGTCTCCTTTCAAAGGACTTTATCCCTGCTTCCTCCTGTCTTCTCACAGAGACGTGGCCTTCAAGCAGACACGTCTTCCGGGGAGAACACAGGCAGCAGTCCTGGAGGCTGGTGCAGGATCACAGAACCCCGACCTCTGCTTCCTGACTTACTTGTCCTCCCCAAGCCCTTCACTATCAAGCTGGTCTCTGGTCTGCCCTGGTCTTGGGTTCTGATCCACTGTGGTCTACTCCGTAATTCTGTCCTGTACAATATGTTACTGGTACAATCTCC